AAGTCAACCCAATTAAGTATGCCCAACATACTCAACCTCTACACCCCGCATACTCCGCCTTGACCAAAAAGTGGGCATCCGACCACTTACGCCCAACGTACGCCTTGGTACACCTAACGTACGTTGTGGGCATGCAAACCTCCATTAAGCTCTTAATACATCAAGTCCAAATGTCCCAATCCATATCTAAGCCTAAAAAGGTGTCCCAAACCATAAAGTTTCCAACTATATGGTTATGCATGCTTTAATAAGTCCTTAAACCCAAAACCCTAGCTTGTCTTAACCACTTAAGACCTTTATACACGTAACCGAAAGGTTCCTCGAAATGATGATGGAGGAGCTCAAGATGATGATGAAGAAAAGTTGACTATATTTTCACATCCTGGTCGCCCATATGGAAAACTCAAGAGGAGAAGGTTAACTGATATGGAATTTAATGTTGCACATTCTTACATATTAGTTAATGAAGAAAAAGTGCAACCGTATCTTAAGTAAGCTTATAATCGATATTCCAACTTATTTTTTAGTCAAGACATGAGTTCAAATTATTTTATTTCTTATGTTTACAGCGAATATGAAAAGTTGTTGAAAGATCTATATCCTGATATAAGTGAACATGATCTCCAGGAAGAAGTGGATAAAAATTTTGCATCATGGTTTGAGAATTATGTGAGTGCACAGTTGTTATTTTTAATTTTTTTTGTCAATATTCTTATGTACTTCTTTATTTGTCATATAGGCACGCCAAAATCAAATAAAGAACAAGTATATATATGATCTTTCTAGAAAACCTTTAAGGACAGTGAAATTATATAATGTCTATTTTGTCAATGGTTATAAGTTTCATACAGAATCATATGGTGCTAATAAATCAACAATGAATAGTGGAGTGTGTATAAGTAGCGAATCATGTGATTACTACGGAAGGTTGGTGGAAATATTAGAAGTTGAATATCCTGGTTTGCCGGTTAAAAGCACAATATTGTTCAAATGTGATTGGTATGATCCAACACCTGATATAGGAGTCAAGGTCCACAATCAATATAAATTGGTTGATATAAACAAACGAAGAAAGTTCAAGAAGTTTGAGCCATTTGTTTTGGCTATGCAAGCTACTAAAGTTTGTTACATACCATACCCCAGCATGAGGCAGAACATGTCTGATTGGTTGGCTGTATGTAAAGTTAAACCTCGAGGATGGATTGATGTGCAAAATAGTGATTATCAAAAAGATGTTGCTTTTCAAGAAGATGAAGCAAATGAAATCATTTGCAGCACGGAAGAACCTTCCACAAGTGCACATGATGAAACAGTTGAGTATGGCGACATCTGAAGCAACGTTTCTGATGATGAAAGTAATGATAACAATGAAGGCGAGTTTGAGTATAGTTCAATGACAAATGAAGAAGAAGATGTTGGAGGAGATGACCATTTTGATTATGATAGTGATTAGCATGTCAATAATTACCTCCAACTATGGTGTCAAGATAGAGGTTGGTGACTGTTCAGGTTAATCATTTCTTAACTTTTGGAAAAATTTGCCCCTAAATATTTTTTCCTTACTTTTTCTTATCAGTCTTTAGCATTATATTTTTAAATAGAATTTTTAACAGTACTTATCTTATCAGTACAACACTTTTTTCAGATAACACTTGATGAATGTTTCTTTTTTACTTCATGGGTTAATCACTTAGGTTCTGTTTTGTTGGAGGGAAGGAAATGATAAAGGAATGAAATATTTAATCAAGGGTAAAATGGGTACTTTTCATTCCTTGAACGAAGGAATGAGAAAAAAACAGCGGGGGGATGAATAAAACCCGCATTTTGAAGGAATGACATTCCTTTAGGGATTCGTCATTCCTTTCCATGCGATCAACCAAACTATGCAGATTGTGTTTGTGCCTTGCTATTTTCTATGAGATCTCAAATCATATCAGCATTTTTTTAAAATTTTTTCTGTTTTTGTTTTCGAAACTATGCAGAAACATTATTGTTTATGGTGAGGGACTCATTGATTATTGTATCACGCATTTAAGGCTTTCCAAGAGAACTATTTATGCTGTAACTGGATAAATGTACTATAAAAGGCCCAAAAGGGTAAATTTGGAAACTGGATAGTTAGTTGGTGGGGAGCAAAGGAGAATAAAATGATGGAAGATTACTCTGATTGTCATGATATGTTTGTGCCAGCAGATTTTTTGCTCACAACTTTTGCTTGATCAATGGATATTCCCTAGTGTCTTTTTTGTATTTTATTTTCATCAAATCATCTAATACAATCAACTTATTCTTCCCTAATTCACTACACTGTGTTTTGTTGATTTACATCAACATTTGTTTTCTATCATGGTGATTTTCCCTACAATATGTTGCATGCCTCATGGCAGGGGTATTATAGTCCTTTCAGTGTTTTACTTTTTTAGACTGCTAGTTTATTAGTCCCTGTTTAACATAAATTATATTTACGGTTCCTCTACAAAATAAAATTACAGTAATGGTCGCTAAATATTTTTTTTGTAAGAAATGGTAACATGCTTATAATTATTGAAAGATATAACAACCTACCTGATGACGACATGAAAGAAATAGTCCCATTTACATGTAATTAACAATAATTTATATTTTCTAATGTCTAATATATCTTTTACTCATAATTTTAGATGGAAAGAGAGACAATAGGGAAAACATTTACTGCATCGGTGAATTCAGGGAGAGAAAGGGGTCCACTCTTTGTTAGCTTTAAGACAAGATCCACACAATCAAGAACACTAATTGTAGTTTTTCAAATTGACCCTATAAGATACTTATCATCATAATTCATGAATCATGCTTTTACCATGGAGGATAAACTATTATTGTTTATAAAATGCATCAAGATGTCAAAATATAGTAAAATACTTATAGATAAAAGCGTTAGTTGGTTATGTTTTTTCTTAAAAAAATAGTAAAATACTTATATATTTGACAAAAATTCATTAATATGTGACTTTTGACTCATTCCTTTATATTTTAAATCATATCCATATATAACCTCGTATTACCTTTTCCTTATTCCTGATTTATCTCCTAATTTATTGTATATGTAAGTACATAAGTTTATTTTTTAAATAATACAATATATAATTTACCATATACAGAATAGTTATAAACAAAATAGCAAATCAAATATTTTAAATTCATCCCCCTACACCCGGCAAAACAAATCTCCCTATATCCACTCCCTTCAAAACTGTTTCCCATTAATTGCCCACGTCAAGGAGAATTTAGAGTACATCTGTGCTCTTCGTGGTTTCCTCTCGTCTTCTAGGTCTTTTCAGTGTTTCTGATCAAAGTGTTTCCCCCGTCTTCCAGGTATGTTTTCTTTTGTTTCTTCTCTCTTCTTCTTAGTCTTCTGTCTTTTATAACTATCAGCAATATAAAATTAATAATGGAGTTTTACTTACGTCAGCGTTGCTTCTGTTTAGTATATTCCAATTGAATTTATCTTTTCTAATTCTCTGTTTTATGCGACATTTACGTTATGATAAAAAAATATTTGATCGACTTCTCTTGTTTATACAATTATATTTAGATGTTGCGATTTGATAACAATATTATACGAAACATGTGTTAGATCATGACAGGATAATAATTAGTACAATAGTTTTTTATTTGAATCTATTGAAAAGTAGTAACAATTGTTGTCTAGTTGAATTTTGATACTCGGTATTTTAAAATGTTATCTGATGTATAGAACATTTAATCATGTTTACTAGTTTATGCCAATTGTTGCTTTCTAATCCACCTGATATGTTTACTTTCATATATCTTTTTGTAACATAAAATAACTGGAACAGATCTACTAACATATAAGTCAAATTATATAACAAAATGGTCACTGTTTAAAATAAAATTACAGTAGCGGTTCATGTGTCAACCTTTTCTCCTATGTCATCTTCTATGAACATTTATTCCACCAACATCATACATACTCATAATATCAACATAATGAAATGGTCCCATTTGATGGCTACTTCTATTACTATATGTAGATGGTGCAGCTAGCAGGAAAGATGTCTCCATTCCCATTGAAAGGAGTTCCAACAAGGCCACACAAACATATGCATCGCTTGTTACAAAGGTCTACTAATGAAGCATCTATACCTGCATTGTCATCATCTACAGTCCCACAATTTGGTACTGTACCCGTGCCTGCGTCCAACACTACATCCACACAGACATTCACACGGATAACTTCTACTCCTCCACTAGTTGGTACTATATCAGCCCCACGATCCACCCCTTCATCCACACCAGCCCCATCATCTACCTCTGCATCCAAAACGACATTCACATCGGCAACAACTACCCCACCAATGTTTGGTACTCTATCAATGCCTTCATCCACACCAGCTCCATCATCAGCCCCTTCATCAACACCAACTCCATCATCTACACCTTTATCCACACCAGCTCCATCATTAATCCCTTCATCAACACCACTTCCATCATCCACCCCTTCATCCAGAACAGCTCCGACGACACCGCTTGATGAACAAAACGAAACACGAATAGACGGACGCTTACGTATTACAGTTCAGGCAAAGGAGTAAGTTAAAATAGTAGTTAATTTTCATATATTTTGTTCAAGTTTGCTTAATTTCATAATTTTTATCAAAAATGTACGTTACAATCATTATGATGCTTATTTTGTTATGTAGGTTATCACCTTAAATGTTCCTACATAATTAAAAAATCGTTCCCAGATAAAGTGGACCCAAAAGGATATAAGTGGGCAACTTTAAGTGAAGAGACAAAACAATTTTATTGGGAAGAGTTTCAGGTAAATGGTTTATTATTTATGGTTTTATTCACTTATTAGGCACATTGTTCATTTATGATAACTCAAATGTTATTATGTATTGTAGAAAAAATGCTATTGGGATGTTGCAATTGGTAACTCAGTTAAGGCTGCTTGGGAACATAAGGCCAAAGAAAGGTATCGACAGTATATCTATGACATGAGCACAAGAAATCCAACCCACGAAAAGCCGTCTCACATAGAACAACAAGTGTGGAATGCTTGGAATGCAATATGGAGTTCAGATGAGTTCAAGAAAAAATCAGAACAAAATAAAATAAATAGGCGTAAAGGGGTAGTGGGTGGAAAAGCCCCACCTACTCATAATGGAGGATCTGCTTCTCATAAACAAATTGCTATTGATATCGTAAACATCTTTTTACCTATTCATATAATTATGGTATATATTTCGATACATTTTGTGATGAGATTTTATATATTTCTAATATTATTGTTAGGAGGAATATATCGGAAAAGCTCCATCAGTCTATGATGTATTCATGTTTACTCATACTAAGGATCATGACGGAAAGACATTCCTAGATGAAAAGGCGAAAAAAGTTCATGTAAGTTTATTTAAGTAATTCGGTGATATTAAATTAAAGATCTTGTATAAATTGTATATTAATACCTTGATAACATTGTAGGATTTTATTGAGTCTCGACGTGCGGATTTGGAACTATTAGGAGAGGAAGTGGATGAAAATGAGTTGTTTTATACAGCTGTTGGAGGACATGACCGTAAAAGAAGAGTTTATGGGCTTGGATCATATGGAAGATCCATTTTTCCTGGAAATTCTTCTGAAGCATGCAGTTCACCGGATACAAATTTGGAAAAACATCATCTAGAGGCCAAGATCCAAAAACTAGAGGAAACTATTGAGCAACAAAGAGTCGACTTGGATGAAGTGAGAAACACGATCAATGATATGAGAAACATGATTAACTAGTGATATTTTCTTTAATTGTGCATTTATTATTTGTAGCTACCTTTTACTTTTTAATTAATTTGTCTTAAGTTTTGGACAAAGTAAGAAAACATTGGATGCTACAATATTTTTATGAAGAATTTATGCAATTTTGTTTTATTTTATCTTGAATTTTCCTAATGTTTGTTGTTAGAAAGTTGGTTTAGAGATAATTTTCTAGTAAATTTTGTTTGTATTTTGCTATGGAATTCATCTTGTCACCATTTTTCACTATGGAACTAGTTTGTAGTTATTTTTGTATTCATTTATCTACGGATTTATTTTGTAGTTAAATTGCTATGGATTTTTTTACGAAAGTTATTTCGTCATGTTTTGTTTGCTATGGAAGTAGATAGTAGTGAATTTGCTACGGAATTTCCCCGTCATGGAATTTGCTACGAAATATTTGTTATGAAATTTTTTTGTAGTGAGCTTACTACAAAATAGTTGCTACGAAATCAGTTTGTAGTGCTTTTGCTATAGAATATTTTCTACGAAGTTAGTCTGTTGTGAGTTTGCTACGGATTTGCTATGGCATGTTCCGTAATTAATTTGCTATAGAATTCCTACGAGAAATTTTGTAGGCACTTCGCTACAGATTTACTACGGATATCGTTGTAGCTATTTTGCTATATAAGTCTTACGAAAAATTTTGTAGGCACTTCGCTACAGATTTACTACGGATATCGTTGTAGCTATTTTCCTACGGAAGAGGGGTGTAGAAAATTCCGTATCAAAGGGCCTACGGATTCCGTAAGGACCCTTAGCTACAAAGAATTTTACTACAGAATGGTGTCGTAGAAATTTCCGTAGTTAATCACGTTTGCCTACGGAATTACATGCTTTAGCTACGGAATTTTTCCATAGCTAAATCTACTTTTTCTTGTAGTGCACTAAACGGGCCAAGATAGCATTTTTACAACTTAAAACACCTTAGATCTTCTAAAAGGACAAATCATATGGTCTTAGAATAGCCCAAACTCATCAAGGCCAAGAAAAAGGGACTTAAGCACATAAAACTTCCCATGGCAAGATCTTAAGGAAATACAAATGAAGGTTAGAGCTTCATACCTTCTGGAGCTTCCCAAGGAGGCAAGGATCTCAAATCTATATGCTAGCTTCCACACCAATGCTCCTCAAAGAACCTTCTTCTTTCGTCTACACACCAAGAGCATATACTTAAGCTCAAAACACACTCAATGGCTAGGGTTTGCCAAAAACGTCACAAGGAGAGGGGAGGCTGAAAAGGTGAGGAAAGTGAGACTATAAGGATGATTATATAGGGGCTTATCCCTAAAATTTAGGGTTTCCACACGTAGTGAGTACACCCCACGTACATAGATGTACGCCCAACGTACTAGGACGCGCCCTAGTACGCTAAGTGTACACATGGCGTACTCCCACTTCTTCCAAAATTATAAGTTTGCCACTAGGGCTTCAAATGGGCACTTTCTTCTACTTAGGGATTGAAATGCAATATAAAAAATATATCAAGGTTGATTTTAAAAGTACCTAAACATGGGAATGTTACAATTTCAGATAAAGTTTAGACAAGAAAAATTATTTATATAATTAAACTTATTTGCATGTTGATTACAATTCATAAGTTTTAATTTTTTTATTTATATAAATATTACATTTTATATGTTTATGGTATACGAAGTCTCATAAATAAATAAATAAATAAAACATTAGCACAAAAATATCTCATAAATATTATTTTAGAAAGAAAAAAGTTAAAATCATGAAGAGCTTTTTTTAATTTTGTATATTATATTTGACACAAAAGCCAAAACCTAACTGTTTGGAATATAGAAAACAGAAAAACGCAGAAAATATTCAAATACTGTCGATTACGAAAAAGGTGTGTATCAAATATCAAGCAGTTAATGTTATTTCTTTTCCTTGGCTTGCCGACATTAAACGACAAAATAGTATTATGGAAATAATTATTAAAATTAGAAATCGTACGATCCTCGTCAACAATTTACAGGTCATGCTTCTTTTTTTCGGTATAAACACATGCGATTCGATCGGGTTCATAAATAAATAATACAGAGATAGAAATAGGGATAAGGCATTGCTAGGGCATACATATATTTACCATGAAAGTTAGGTCTAGCTACAAGATTCGTCGTCGGGTCGGATAGATAATCGATCAATATCAATGGGGAGGAGAAAGCTTGAAATAAAGCGGATCGAAGATAAGAGTAGCAGGTTAGTGGCGTTTTCGAAGCGGAGAACGGGATTAATAAAGAAAGCACGACACCTTTCCGTGCTCTGCGATGTGGATGTCGCCGTCATCGTATTCTCCGCCCGCGGCAAACTCTATGAATTCTGCAGCAGCGCTAGTAGTAACAGGTGACTTCCAGTACTGTTTGTATCTTATTCTTCGGCCTGAATTTTGAATTTTTGTTCCTATATATATATATATATATATATATATATATATATATATATATATATATATATATATATATATATATATATATATATATATATATATATATATATATATATATATATGCGCTCTCGATCGTATTTCTCTACACACGCTGTTCTGTAGGGATCATCACCTTTAGTTACAATCTGTGTATATATATATATCATCTCCGTACTTCAACGAGATCTCTAGCTAGCCAAATTATGTTGATTCGATTTTTCCTGGGGTTTTTGTCAATTGTCATGTCCTCTTTCTAACCTTGCTTGCTTGCTTCCTTCTCATTTCCATTTCTGTTATGATGTAGTAACGACACGAACTCTTGAATTACTTATTGTATTACTAGCTCTTTTTGTTCATTTATAAAAAAAAAATTGTCTATTAACGTGAAAAAAGAAAATTCGTAAAGATTTTACGTACTTTCAGTTTTCAGGAGAATCGTCAGTATAGAAGTGGACACAATCCTAGTCCCTAGATCTCAAAAAACTTAAGATTTCTAGAGCACAAGTAAGCAACCAAAAAAGCAACTATTCTCAGTACAAGAGCATTAGAAAGCTTTTCAAATTAATAAGCTTTTTATTTATTTATTTATTTTTATTCCAAATAAGCACCAGGTCAACAAAACTAAAAACTTAGAAGTATCTCCACACCACTGTAGTAACAAAAGCTTATTTATGGGTTCTACGTATCTACCAAATTGAAAGGTTTCATGTAATTGAATTAAACATTATAATTATGAAAAAGCTCCATATGATAAGCTTGTAAATTTAAAAGTAAAATGAAAGCCCTCGCAATAGCTTGTTTAGCATTGAGAAGCTCATTTGACTCAAAAAGCTCCCCAATAAGGTCGTGTTATGGATGTCTAGCGAATCCCATCTGCTTAATTTATTAATTAGTGTGCCGGGGCCGCATGATTATAAATTCATAGAAATTAAGAGATAAAGAAACAGAAAAACATTAAAAAAAAACTTAAGCTCACTTGTGAGATTTCTGAGACTTTGCAAGTCATGCTTTCTAAATAAAAGCTCCTACTACCATCACATAAGTTTTGTTTTTTTTTTTTTTTAATATGAAAAACCTTATAATTAATAAGTCTTTGAATAAGCTATATTGTAATTACTCTAAGTTTTTGTATAAGCTCTATTGTGGATGCTATATTTGTAGTTGAATTTCGATTTCAAATGAACCATCACTTCAACTCATGCACGAACATCTATCCAATAAAATATTTATATTGTAATAATAAGGAAAGTCTTAAAAAAACAAACACAAGAACTTCCCAACTTGAACAGTTTATTCACTATAAACCAGTTTGATTATACATCAACTTACATCAGAAACCTTACTACAATAACCCTCTCACTCAGATGAAAAGAGTAAGAACAAGATTGAACTTATTACATACAAAATTATGAAACCCTAATCTGAGAAAACCCTAACACAAAACGAGAGGAAATATGAGAGAAAATATCTTTTAATCTGATGATGATCTCTCCCAAATGACAATGACAACAGATTCAACATTAAGTATTTTGGATATATGGAGCAACCCACAAACCATCAAACTCCGCGCATTAACCTGAATCATTCGTACCTGCATAAAACTTACACAATCTACCCACAAATAACACAATCATACACAATGCACCCTTTAACAAATTAATTTTAGTTTGTTAACTTTAACACCCCTCCCCCCCCCCCCCCCCCCCCACCAACTGAACATTAATTTAATTTATGATTTATTATGTTTTAAAAACATTTATTAAACCAAGTGTACTAGAAATATATTCATGTTGAGAAGATCCAAGAGCTTTAGTTAAAACATCAGCATTTTGATTTAAAGACTCAACTCTATTAACTTTTATAACACCATTTTCAACCTTTTCTCTAACAATATGTAGATCTACTTCAAAATGTTTAGACCTTTCATGAAAAACTGGATTTAGTACAAGTTTAATTGCTGATTCATTATCACAAAAAATATTAACTGGATTTAAACCAGTTATTCCCAAATCACACAGTAATTTTAAAATCCAAATAATTTCACAAGTTACAGCACCTAAAGCTCTGTATTCAGATTCAATGGAAGAACGAGAAACAGTACTCTGTTTCTTGCTTTTCCAAGATACAAGAGAACCAACAAAATAAACGAGATATCCTGTAACAGACCTTCTACTGAAAATACACTTAGCCCAATAAGCATCAACAAATCCAATAAGACTAAGAGAATCATTTTTTGTTATATGAATTCCTTTCCCTGGACAATCTTTCAAGTACCTTAATAGTCTTAATGCAATATTCACATGAGACTTATAAGGCTTGTGCATGTATTGACTTAAAATTTGGACAACATATGAAATATCAGGGCGTGTCATAGTTAAATAAATCAATTTACCAATTAGTTTTTGAAATTCTGTAATGTTTACCACATAATCAAAGGGATCTAAATCACATTCCCTCTTAATAACAAGATTAGGTTCCAAAATAGTTTTAACAGGTTTGCAAGCTAGCATGCCAAACTCTTGTAACAATTCCAAACAAT